TCGCATGCGGCCACAGGAAAAACTCATTTCTTCCTGTGTTACGGACGGGAACCACTCACACCACAGCAGCCAACTACACCGGCACACGTCCAAGCCGCACACGACTTCGTCACCACCATGCAACAGCTATGGGAGAAGACTCAGCGGCGTCTCACCACGATGCAGAACTCCTAGAAGCAGTATGCCGATCGCCAACGACGAGATCAGTAGTGATCGGAGATCAGGTGCTTCTTGACACGCGCAACTTGAACCTGTCTCACCTCCCATCCAAACTCCGGCCTCGCTTCTGTGGTCCTTTTCTCGTGGAGGCACAGGTGACACCAGTTACATTCTGCTTGCGCTTACCAGATACATGGAACCTTCACAACGCCTTCCATGTTCAACTACTATAGCCCTACAAGGACCCCAACCAACAGTTCCAGGGACGGCAGCTACCGCCACCACCACCTGTTCTTGTGCAGGATGAACCAGAGTATGAGATCGAGCGCGTTCTCACTCATCGGCGCCGCGGCGGCAAGACCCTCGAGTTCCTGATACGCTGGAAGGGATATGTCCCCACTGAAGACAGTTGGGTTGCAGAAGCTGATATGGGCAACGCACGCCGTGCTCTCAAGGACTATCTTGTCAAGCAGGGTGTATCTCACGCCACCCAGATTTGAGGGGGGAACGTGCGAGAGTACGATGGCTTATGCTTGTTAATCATGCCTGCTTTTATCTTATTACGCTATTACTAGCTTAGGTTTATTTTATACATGTATGAATTGCTTGATTTCCTAGGCTAGGTGCTTTCCTATATTTTATTATAGTTATAGCACCGAGCTAGGTTACGTACACCGAATTCTAGGCTATTCGGTTGCCACCGAAATGCCTTCTACCGAATTCGGGAAGGGTCTGTTCCCCGCGGAACCTTCGCGTAACACCTGGTTACTGCCCCTTGTGTCGAGCCTATATATAGCCTCGTGTTGTACCTAGGTGATCATTCAATTCAAACTCAATTTTCTGAGCTTGATCCTACACCCTCACACCAACTTTCGTCGACAAATTCGCTACCAACTGCCTTAATTGCCGAGATTTTCGTACCACCCCTGATTTCACGGTCAGAGGATTGCAGGATGCGCCACTCCAACTCTACCAACAACAATTCGCTACACTCAACCCACCCACGACATACGATCTGATTTTGACCACGTCATGTGCTGCCAGCTGCAGCTGCTGAAGGCACCACTAAAAGTTTTGGACGTGTAACGACATATTTTGACAGTTCGAGTAACGCAGAATTTCCGTCGCGGTTGCTGGGCTACGACTTCTTGTGCTCCATTGAAGATTTTTGGGCGCGTAAAACCTGGGTTGTGTCATTGAGTTTCCACACCAACACAATTTTGGCCTCATACGCTCAACGGCTCTCTTAGTGGGACTGAACACCCGGGTTTGTTGGTTTTTATTCCGGCACAGCTGCAGGAAAGTATCTGGTGTGTTTTCTTGGAGGGGGGGAGAAGGGTGCTGATACTATTTCTTCTTGGAGGGGGGGAGAAGGGTGCCGATACTTCTTCTTCCTTGGCGTTTTCTCAGCACATTTCTGACTTTGTCAGAATGCGGCAGCACGACATACGATTGTGATCACATTGACAAGATCAATGGTCCTTGCTTACGCGGTTTAGGGTTTAGGATTTAGGGTTTTGCATCAGACTGCTCCCTCCAAAATTGTGTCAGCTTCCGACCATCAGATCTACACCGGCTCGATCGAAGGCCCACATTCCAACTCTCAAATCCATTTGGGCCTGTTCATCCGTGTCCGTCAGATCGACATCCGACTTCATCAACGGCCTCAATTCTAACCTTTCTATCAAAATTGTTGAAGACAATTTCAGCTGTCGGATTCAGCCGTCGGGTTCTAAGGCATACTGACGTATCAGAGTAAAACATATCAATACACGGAATGGAGCTACGGGCATAGCCATATAAGGTTTCGGCTTGCTACCGCGAATGTTTTTTGTTCAATTCTTGTCTATGGTAGCCATGGTAGTGGGTGCCGAGAGAGATTACAGCTGGTGGAACCTTTATGCTGGAAGCTTGGGCCGAACATACTATTATGTTCGAATATACTATTATGTCCGAATCCGTGTAATTCGGTACACTACACTGATGCTTCAGTGTTACGCGAACATCTTGACTGTAATAAATATGAATTCATTACTGTAGAGGCTGCTCCTAGCGAGGACAGCCCCAAGCACTTCGCGTCAGTATGGCTCGGCCTACACTTTCGCACCGAACCAATTCCGAGTCGCCCCGCACCAATCGCGACACATCCAACCCTCGCACGTCATGAGGTTCTCGCCTTGCTAGTTTTCGCCCTATTAATGCTCGCATCTTTCATTATCTCGTTATTCTGTAATCACATCCTTTTTACAATATGTTCCATGCACTCTGTTTAGTACAATTGATAACACTTGGTATCGGAGCTACTTTCCTAGCTCACCCGCTTTTTAGAGTGAATTACCACTCTGGTGGGGGGGGGGGGAGACGGAAGGATGCTGTGGGGTCCAGGAGCTGCGCTATAGCCAGCCGGTAGAATGGGTAGTTGCTCCTAGCGGCCCTTCTTTTACAGGCGCTCCTTCGGCACTGCCGGATCCTTGCCCTCGACGGTCGAGATGGACTGTGGCCTCCCTCCTCCCCACTAGTGGATAGCTTGTGCTGTCGTCGCATTAGTTGCGTGAATTAAAAATATTTATTTTCGGCATTTTTCAGAGTTTAATTATGAGTAGCGGCTGACGTCGACAGGATCGCCGTCGATGCACTTCTGAAATAGTCGGAAGCAATCAAGGTGCGGGTTGGCATCTTCATGTGGTCGTCAACTGCGCGTGAAGAAATCGGAATTGCTACGTGCAGCACGTGGCGTTGGGCGTCTTTGTCATGTTGCGTACGAGCTATTGGACGTATTCGGCAAGTGACATGCGGCGTCACTGTGCGCGAAGATTTCGGGTAGCAGCACGCGGAAAACGGCTGCTGGTCGAGCAGCCAGGCACAAGGTGATTTGCGTCAGAAAAACCGACGACGAGGAGAGGCGGCGTGGCGACTGCCCGAAAAAGCTGGGGTCTCCCGTTGTCCCGCCAGGGTGCGGCAGTGCTGCTGCAAGAAGGTGCGTCGTGGGCGTTTTTCGGCAGGAGCGGCACAGTGTGAGACGGAAGTTGTTCTTCAAACCACCAGAAAGTCCGAAAAAGGCCACCTATGACCAGACTGTTCTGTTTGGGTCCCTTCGGTGACTGCACCAACAATCGGGAAAAAAAAATCGGAGTAATAGTGGTGGCCGATTCTCCACTTCAGGCGGCAAATTTTTCTCCGGCTAGAGAAAGTTGTGTCGTAGATAGGGCAGTACACCAACGGCCTCAACGATTCGGTGCAGCATCTAGACCCGCAAATTTTGGGGGTCCTATTGGTTACATCATACGGAGTTGCGACAAATACGGGTCTGGCGAGTAAAGCGGGGTCCGACATCAGGAGGCGAGAATACTACCTACGGAGAAGACTTTTTGCTGAGGCTGGGTTTCGCGGCTAAGCGACGGTAGCACATCAGGCTTCCTACCGGCCAGAGTCTTACAACGTTTCACATAACCCACACCAAGTAGCTTCGAAGGGCGGCCCAAAAGCGACAGTCCCTGATGGAACAGGACAAAAAGGTGGGGCCCTGTGTTTAGCCCTGTGCTGGTTAAAAAAGCGTGGGTGGCGCTGGTTCGACAGCGGGGTGTACAAGAAAAGTTTATGGATGCGACACTGTTTCGGCCCCGACAATAGCGGACTCTCGGCAACAATTACCCTGCCAAAAAAGTCGGAGCTGAAATAATTGGTGCAGCTGTCGGAGTTCCTCCTAATTGAACAGACTACCCGACGGTGGTGTAGCGACGAAGATGGAGTTTCTGAAGCTGTGGAGTTTTAAACGTAAAAGGCACAGTGGGCAGTGAAGCAGCCGGGCGGGAGTTTGATACGATAAACTCACCCCTTCTACGATTGCGTTCGCGCCTTCATCGAACGCCATAAAAATCGCAGGCAACACAAGATATGCCTCATCCCACAAACTCGACTACTGGGTGAGCGGTAGCTAGCCGATATTGTCGGGGGGTGAAACTAAAAAAATGAAGGTGGGAGACAGGTGAACCTTTGCTCGCCAAAAGAGTTGCAGTATACTTCGAAGTCATCTGGGGAAGTTCTAAGGCGAGATCTGCGGCATTAATGCGAGCTAGGTTCCGTGAAATTCGGTCCCGGTAGACCCATGGCTCTGGGTTCCACACAAGAGAGCGCCTCCTTTTGGTGGGTTGCTTCGGTGGTTAACAACAGATAATAAAAATGGCGACGGGTGGGCACGCTAGATACACCGGTTCTTTCGGAGGACAACCTGTAGGCGACCAAGATTTACGTGGTGTGCTTTCATTTCCGACAATTGCAGGTACCACGAGCAGTTCCAAGGATGAGTCTTAACGGAAACAGCGGGGTCGTCGTCAGTATCCATGCCAACCGCGGAGTTATAGCGGTGCTTGATTAAGCGTGAAAAAGAACTCGTCGTTAAAAGAGTAGCAGTACTCAAAAGCTGTTTGGGGTTATGAGCAACAAAACGAGGAAGAACTTTTGCTATAAAAGAGGGGAGAGGCGACTTTTGCCCTTGCCTAGAAGAGTTCGGCGAGTCAGGACAACGCCGACAGTGAAGCTGACATCATTTTTGAAAAAAAAAGTTTGCGTGGTCAAGGGGGGAGCAGCAGCTGTTTCTCGCCTCTGCTGGGAGTTTTCTGAGAATCACGACAAATGCCTCGGCGAGCCACGACAAGATCGCCGGAGGTGCTGACGTCATCGTCACCTTTGGATGGAGTTTTCCATGGAGTTCTCACGACGACACTCGGTCAGTTACGTGATTCGCCCTCCTCGCCGAGCATCGCTGATGCGCTAAAAAGATTTTTTTTTTTTTTTTTTTTTTGCGATGGACTTCGACGACAAATGACAAAGAATCCGGAGTCATGGTAAAAGAAATTCAGGATGGGGTTCGCTTTGCAACAAGCGACAAAGTAGAGTTTATACAGGCGGCAGCTGCTGACAGCAATCAAGGATTGTTGCTGCTCCCAAAAAAACGATTTCAGCTTCAGTGGACTTTGACGCTACTTAACCTCCGAGTTTTTTAGTGAAGATTTCGCCACCAACAGCTGTTCTGACAGTGTAGCTGCTAATAACCAGACAAGGTTAATAACATTAGGTGTTTTGACTACACTCGGCGTCAAGGCGGTTGAAGTTTTCTGCCCGCGCAGCAGTGCTACACTGGGGGTCTACCCTTCTCATAAGAAGGGGGGTGAAAAGGATCTTTTATGCATTGTACTTGGCAGTTCTGACAGCCTCGTCAATGTTAATGGGAGTGAAGTGTTGGCCCCGCCCTCGCTTGGGCAACGCCGACGACTTGGTCGGATGTACGGGAGAAGCAGCCAACCATTCGCAGGGAGGGAGCTGCTCGACGGGCTTCGTCGAGCTGCAGGGTGTCACTGTGGGGTTTCCGTCGACCAGGGGTGCTCGACGGGCGCAGCTGACTGGGCTGGGCGACGGGTGGGCCGTCGACCAGGAGTTCCAGTCGACGGGGAGGTCGACGGAGCAGTTTGTCAACCTGACACGTGAGCAACGGTCGACGAGGGGTGCTCGGCGACATCAGCAGTGGGTTCTGGCTAACGGAAGGGGTCAGTATGGGGCAGCTCAACAAGAGCTGTAGTCAACCAGGGGCCCTTGGTGGTCGACCAGAGGCACCTGGTGGTCGACCAAAGGCACCTGGTGGTCGACTGGGGGGCCTGGTGGTCGACCGGTGGAAATGGTGGTCGATTGGGGGACTTGTGGTCGACCAGAGCTCGTGGAGGTCGACCGGAGACACGTGGTGGTCGACCGTGTTGGTGCAACCCTACAGTTTGCACTCGGCTTGTTGTCCGTATGCGTGCATGCGTGTGTGCATAAAATGTGATGAGTGCATGAAATAATATATATTTCATGCTTATAATAGTGTGTGCATGATGGGTCATGATGTCGAGTGTGTGTGTGTCGAGTCAATAGCGAGTTATCGCTAGTCACGAATTACGCGGTCATTTGTGTCTCGCGCGCGGTTTCTATTTTGTCGTGTGTCTCGTGCGCGGTTTCTATTTTGTCCTGTGTCAAACGTTCGGCGTGTCGCAGGTGTGTGCAGCAGACCCATCAAGAACTCAAGGGTGAGTTTGTGATGAAAAACCCGAGCATTGGTTTTAAGGTTCAAGTGATTTCGATGCTCGTCAAATGGGTACACCTCAAGATATTGAGAATCGTTACATTACAATGTGTAGTGTAACATTTCAGTTGGTGTAGGCCCTTGTGGAGGGTAGTTTCGAGACCCTTCTTGGTTGGGGATAGTGTGGCACTGTTCCACATCACTGTACCTTGGCTCTTGGGGTTTGTAGGAGCTGGGAGTCATTTCCAACTCGTAACTATTCCCTACTCTTACTAATTGTGTGTTCTAAGACTATGTTGCTGCCATAGTGCCGTTCGTTCAAACCGACACTGTATCGTCAATTCTTGATAAAATCGTGCGATCTAAATTGCCTATTGAAGAAGACTTGAAGACGCTCTAGATCCAAGCTGAATCATGTCATTTGGAGCTGTGAGAAGATCGCAATGAACGTTCGAAGCCGCTCTTCAGAAATCTGACTGTGCACTCTATCTTTTGTTTTAGTCAGAAATCCAAGTGGTATCAGAGCGCCTTGGAGCAGTTTGGATGATGGGTGGACCTGAAGAAAGGGGTGGCAGAGGTGCTGGAGGCAATGGAGAAGCCCAAGCACAAGGCCAAGCCCGTGATTCAGCCGTGGCGCCCGTGCAACCTACTCTTGGACCTTCTAGGGATGAACCAAGAGTGTTCGGGCTTGACAAGTTCAACGGCGACAACTTTGCTGAATGGTCCTTCAGAATGGAGAACGTGTTTGACCACTATGACCTGCTGGAGGTGATGGAAGGAACGGAGAAGCGTCCCGAGAACGACCCGGAGAAGAGCCCGTGGGTGCGGAAGAGCGCACAAGGCTACCTCCTAATAGGGCAAGCGTTGGGGAGCAGCCAGATCTGTCACATCAAGCCTTTCCAGCGTGAACCTGAGAAGTGACCTAAAGCATGGGCTGCTCTCAAGGGTGTACACGCTCCTGCAACAGTGGCGGTAGCTGTGGTGTTGGAACGGCAAATGGCGACGCTACGAATTTTAGAAGATGAACCCGTGGAAGAAGGGGTGCAGAAATTCTTCGACTTGTTGACGCGGCTTGAGGGAGTTGATTTGAACTACAGTTAGCTCCGGGAGAAGTCTAAGTTGCTGGCCCTACTCCCCGAGTCGTGGTCCTCGCTCATCATCAACTTGAACCGTGATCTGCCCCGTCTCTCGCTTGAAGACGTGAAGCGCGCGATCCTTCAAGAGGACTTCCGCCGCCGTGAGTTGGCGAGTGCGGAAGGTGCTGGGGCAGCGAGGGTTCGCCGTGGATATGGCCGAGGAAGAGGCAGAGGACGAGGGGGAGGAAGCTTTGGTGGCAGCAAATTCAGAGGAGGCCGTGGGAATGGCGAATACAGCAGCGACGACAAGAGCTACGGACGCGGTCGCGGCCGATTCGACAGTGAGTGCCACTATTGGCACATGAGCGGACACATGTGGCGCGATTGCTACAAACTTCCTGAAGGATACACCCTTGCTCAAGTCCAAGAGGGTAGAGTGTTAAAGACTGTTACAGTATAAAGTTTTATGAGAAGGCATTCCTGTATGCTGCAGGAGCCGACTCTACCGAGTACGAAGTCGAGGAGTCAGAAGAGTCGAAGCGACACAGCAACCGTCTGATTAGGACCGATGCTGGCAGAAACATTTGAACTGGAAAAGGCGGGAACAGTTTTTGAAACTGGTTCCCGCGCCGCACGGTTTGAATTTCGCTGCAATAAGGGAATGTACCCCTCACATCGCACCCCTCACATCGCACCCCTCACGTCGTACCCCTCACATCGCACCGCTCACAGCGCAGCGAGTTCTCCTCTTCTACTCCTACGTTGCTGTCTTGGGAGGCGCTCTGCTCATGGCGCTCGTCGCTGGGGAGGCGGCGGAGAAGTTTGAAGAAGAGAAGTCGGATGCTCTCATGTGGCGCGTGCTGACGGTGCTCAAGAGTGAGTGCATCGCTTGGGGTTCTGTTCCCCTGGGCCTTCCTTTGTTCCCTTGGAGTTCCTTTCTCTTGGGGTTGCTTTCCTCCACATCACACCCCTCACAGCGCAGCGAGTTCTTCCTCTTGTACTCCTACGCTGCTGTCTCGGGTGGTGCGCTGCTCATGGCACTCGTCGCTGGGGAGGCAGCAAAGAAGTTTGAAGGGGAGAAGTCGGACGCACTCATGTGCCGCGTGCTGAAGGTGCTCAAGAGTGAGTGTGGGCCAAAATTATAGTGTACCGTTTGTGGCTCTTGTTTCCTTCGAATCGAAACAAGTACTTCGAAGGGGAGAGATCCATCATCCACAAGCCTAAGGGCATGCTTCTCTCAACCATGTTTCAATCCCTCAATTTTGGCCTTCCCCTACCCACCCACCTCTCCTACAGAAATTCACGAGCCCAAGGGCATAGCCGTGCTGCACCCCCTGCAGTGTGTGTGCACGCAGTGGCGCAGCGACCCTGTGCACATCTTACCCCACTTCTCCCCCTCTCAATTTGAAATCCATGAGCCCAAAGGCATACCCGTGCCGCACCCTTTGCAATGCGTGTGCACGCGGTGGCGCAGCGAACCAAATGCTCTTGATCCAACTCAATGGTCCAACCTCCTTCCCTCTCCTTGTCCCCCTTATCGTCCTCCCTCTCACCAGAAATCTACGAGCCCAAGGGCATAGCCGTGGCGCATCCTCTGCAGTGTGTGTGCATGCGGTGGCGCAGCGATCCGTATGCGGGCGGCTCGTACTCGTATGTGCGCATGGCAGCATCGAGGGACGGCTATGATACACTGGCAGAGAGCGTGGACGGGTGGCTGTTTTTTTGCAGGCGAGGTGAGCGTTTGATGGTTCTCAGTGACTTTAAACAAGCTGCATTGATTGATAGTGCTTGTCTTTGTGCGTGTGGCGGCATCGGAAGATGACTATGACACACTGGCAGAGAGCGTTGATGGGCGGCTCTTCTTTGCTGGAGAGGTGCGTACCATACATTTGCTTGTGAAGGCTGGATTCACTTGTGAGCTTCACGTGTTTCACTGCGTGTGGCGGCTTCGGGGGATGACTATGACACACTGGCAGAGAGCGTTGATGGGCGGCTGTTCTTTGCTGGAGAGATGCATACCAAACATTTGAGAGGACATTGAGGGACGACCACGACAAGTACGCTGGCAGAGAGTGTGGACGAGGGGCTCTTTTTCACTGGCAAGATGAGTGTATGACAGGGGTTGCAGTGAGATGTGGTGAGATCGCGGTGTGATTGTTGTGAGAATGCGGTGAGATGGCAATTGAGTGCCCCACAAAGGAGTTGTGTTCCGTGTCGGCTCAAAACTAGGTGCGCTGAGCGAGTGCTTATGTGCCACCTCGTGGCATCACCTACTTAGCACTCATCCACATATGCAGACGCCCTCACCCTCCCTCTGCCTTACTCTATCTTCCTCTCCTCTTTAGGCCACTAGCCGCCATTACCCCACGACCATGCACGGATCATTTTTTCCATTCACATGCACACATGCTCCGTCTCCCCTATCTTATTTCTATCCCCTCATTCCTTCACCTCCTCTTCTCTTCAGGCCACGAGTCGCCACTACCTGCCACCATGCACGGTGCCTGCTTTAGCGGCTTGAGGGAAGCAGCCAAGATCAACCAAGCTGCCACAGCTGCCGAAGCAGCCCGGGCAGCCGAAGCAGCGCGGGATACTCAAACCGCACATGCTGGCACCACCACAGGGCAAACACACATGCAGACGCCCTCACCCTCCCTCTGCCTTACTCTATCTTCGTCTCCTCTTTAAGCCACTAGCCGCCATAACCCCACTACCATGCACGGATCATTTTTTTCCATTCACATGCACACACGCTCCGTATCCCCTTTCTTAATTATCTCCCCTCATTCCTTCACCTCCTCTTCCCTTCAGGCCACGGTTCGCCACTACCTGCCACCATGCACGGAGTCTGCTTCAGCTCACTCACACATGGAGCTTTTTTTCAATAAGCATGCACACATGCACACACGCTTTCTTTTCCCTTGTCACTCCCTCTTCCTCTCTCCTGCAAGCCACGAGTCGCCACTACCCCGCCACCGTGCACGGTGCCTGCTTCGGCCTGAGGGAAGCAGCCAAGATCAACCAAGCTGTCACAGCTGCTGAAGCAGCTCGGGCAGCCGAAGCAGCGCGGGATACTCAAACCACACTTGCTGGCACCACCACAGGGCAAAGCACGCCAATGACTACAAGTGCATGAGCACAGCACCTGCAAGCGCAGCTGCACACACAACCTTAGGCAAGGGTGCTGGCATGGGCATGGTGAGTAAGGGGACAGGCATGGGGGCAGAAGCAACATCGCCAGCAGCAGCAGTAGCTGTAGCAGGAGCAGCCCCGCCAGCACCAGCGGCAGGCATGGGCATGCAGGTGGCGGTGTGTCTGCTGGATGCTCTCTTCAGCGACCCTGACCTCGAGTTTGGTGCCTTTGCTGTTCTCTTTGACCCCCGCGGCTCCCAGCCTGATCGTGCTGCTGTGCTGCGGGTCACGCTCAAAAGGGATGCCTTCTTGCCAAGGCTATCCGCTGCCCCTACTGCTGCTGCTGCTGCTGCTGCGGCTGCTGCCTCTGATGTTCCTGCAGCAGGAATGAGTGAAGATGCAGCAGCAGCTGTGAACGCAGCAGCAGAGAGGTGGAGGGCAGAGGCTACGAGAGAGTAGGGCCCTGTGGTGAACACCCCTCTGGTCAAGGACGAGATCCAAACAGCTCATGCATCAAAGCAGCAGCATCAGCAAACGCTAACAACACAGGACCAGGCAAAGGAAGCAGAACGGAAGCCATCTGGCACTGCTCTGTCTCCCCCACCGCCCCCTGCTGCTGCAGCTGACAGCACATGGCCCCTCCCCCAGTTGACCCTGCACACAGTTGTTACCCGCCACCAGGCCTTGCTGTTGCGGGAGGTTCGGGGCAGCGATGCGTCTCGGCTGGCGATCCTCACAAGCAGGTTCGGGGTGAAGCTGGTGGGGAGGCGCGGGCTGGGGCAGATGGGGGAGGAGGTGCTGGAGGCAGTGAGGGAAGCAAGGACTGCTAGTAGGAGGAAGCTTGGTGTGATCTGACAAGGTGCTTGCTTTGGTATAGGGTCATACGTTAGTTGAAATGGGCTGGGCTGGGGCAAAGGGGGGAGGCGGTGCTGGAGGCAGTGAGGGAGGCTCCGAGGGCTGTGTTACAGACTGACATTTCAAACGCCTTCAACAGTATCTCTCGCCACGCAATCGTCGCCTCATTGTCAGACCCTGCACTAGCACCTCTGCACTCGATAGTCAAGCTCACATACGGGAACCCATCTCAACTGCATATCGACGCTAGTTTCAACGCGGAGCCACTACGAAGTGAGCGTGGCGTTCGTCAAGGGGACCATTTGGGTCCCCTCCTATTCACGGCAGGAATCCATCCAGCATTACGGGCCACTTCGGCAGTTTTCCCAAGAGTATTGTGCCTCGCCTACGCTGACGATGTTACCTTCCTAGGCGACGCTGACGAGGCGATAGCGGCTTTCAAACACTTCACGGATCAACTAGCAGGCATAGGCCTACGGCACAATCCTGGAAAATGCGCAGCATGGAGCCCTACTCTCTTGGGCATCGATGAGCAACTTCCACCTGGGGTTCCCTTTAGCCAGGATGGCGTTCGGCTACTGGGAAGTTTCCTTGGAACCACCACCGGCTCTGCCGTCTTCCTCACAGAACAGCAGCAGGGCATGGCAAAACCGCTACCCATCTTAGAGCGCATGGACCCGCAAGTTACCTCTTTACTGCTCACACGATGCATCTCGAGGCGCATAGCATACCTTACGCGAACCACTCCGTTGAATCTGCTGCCCAGTAGCACCTGGTCACAATGGGGCCTGGACCTGCTCGCCTGCCTCCTAACCGCCTGCCGCATCCGCGTTCCCACTAGCAACACAGAACTGTCCCGCGTTTGGGAGCAGGCGTCTCTCCCTCCTTCACTTGGCGGAATAGGACTTGCTGACCCCACGGTGGAGGGAGTGGCTGGTTTTCTTGCAAGTTTCACACAGGCAGCACTTCTGCTCTGCTCGCTGCCGCTCACTGTAGACGAAGTACTGTCCACTGCAAAAAATCACATGCTGCTGGCTCGGGACGACAACTCCGCCCTTCACGCATGGCTGACTGAGTGCGAACGTGCCCTGCCTGCTGACGCCTCAGAGACCCTAGAGAAAGAGCGTCTGGAGCCAACCGGCCTGAAGCTGCAGCACGCCTTATCACTCAGCGTGCAAGGGACCAGATACGCTGCACAGGTGCAGCAGACGAGACTCATGAGTCCCAATCCACTCAAGGGACACACGCAGCGCATGTACTCCCTCACCGGTTATGCCGCGGGGGACTGGCTACACACGATACCTATAGCAGCAAACCGACGAATGGCCCCAGAGCATTTCTCCAACTCCATCCGCTTCCGACTAGGCCTGCCGTTCTCAACACCAGCCAACTGCGATTGCTCAGAGCACACCGCCATCACCGACCCTCGACTGCCTAATCACCTCTTCCGTTGTGGCACGGGAAAACACCGAATCAACACTCGTAACGAGTTACGGGACGCATGCATCAGCATGTCGCTTGACGCAGGATTCATCGTTCACGCCGAATCTTCAGCTTACCGCCCGGTAGAGGAACAAACTGCAGACATCACCATCCATGATAGGAGCTCGGGGGCTGTATACATCTGTGATGTCACCATCACAGAACCGATTAGCACCAGGGACCCGAAGGCTAGGAATGGAAGGGGTTGGATTGCAAGGGAACAAGCAGATAAGAAGATACAGCACTACGCGGCAAGGCCTGATTCGGTGGGGTTCTTCCCACTAGCAGTGGACACTTATGGATGCCCATGCACGGAGGTCCCGGTGTTCCTGAAATTGCTGGCGGACTCGGCAGCTCGGCAGTACTTCAACGCCGATCCAAACTCTTTCCAAGCTGCAAAGTTCCTTCACCAATTCAGGCAGCGCTGGTCGGTCGCCCTGCAACGCGCGCAGTCCGTAGGATACCTTATGAAGTCGAACCAGGCGGCGGTGGCGGAGAAACCAGCTATGGGTGGCCACACAGATATGCACCCGGGGCTTTGCGGTTCTAGAGCCCTATGTTAAGTTTTAGGTGTTTGCAATTGATAGGTGTTTTTGGATGAACATTTCTGATTCATATTTGTACCCTTATGGCGTATCAATGCAAGGTCCATTTGAGAGTTGGGCATAAGAGGAGTTCATTAAGAGAAGTGTTGCAAGGCAAAAGGTGCACCAACAAACAGTACATTTAAATAACTACACTACAGCTAGAACTACATGCACTTATATAGAAACATACATAAAATATATTCTGACACACCCCCTAAGTGCATATAGGAATAGCCATGTGCAGAACACCCCCTGAAGGGGTACACCCTGAAGGGCGCAGCAGAAGAAGAGGGTAAGTGAGGAGGAGGAGGAGGGACTATGAGAGGAGAGGAGGTAGGAGGCGGCAGCTGAAGCTGCAGGCACACGGGCGACTGGAGCAATTGGCACACAGGCTACCGGAGCAAGGGCATCCGGACTACTGGAGTAACTGGCTCCGCGGCTAGACGAGCGGCTGGAGCAACTGACCCACGGGCGACTGGAGCAACGGGCTCACGGGCTACCGCAGCAAGGGCATCCGGACTACTTGAGCTGCTGGCTTTATGGCAGCTACCTCCTTTCAACCTCCCCCTCATTGTCCAACACCCCCTCTCCACACCCCCTTCTACATCCCTAGCGCCACTCCCTCGGCTCCACCACACCCTCCCCCCCCTTTCAGCGGCAGCTGCAGTAGTGGGAGAGAGAGGAGGAGGAGCGGCAGCTGACCACTCACGCCCGCCACCCCCATACCCTCCCCCCCACGGCTGCACGCGCAGCAAGGAGTTGAAGGAGAAGGGGAGGGGGGCGGCGGGGGGGGGGGGGCTGCAGGGGCGGCTCACGGGCTGCAGGGCAGTGCGCGGGCTGCAAGGGGCAGGCGCGCGGGGTGCAGAGGCGGCTCGCGGGTTGCAGGGGCGGCTCATGGGCTGCAGGGGCAGTGCGCGGGTTGAAAACCGCCGCACGCTCGGGGCGCGCGTCGGTCAGGAAACCGACGCGCGCCCGGGGTGTGCGACGGCCAGGATCCGTCGCGCGTCCGGGGCGCGCGACGTGCAGGCATCCTCGCACGTCCGGGGCGCGCGACGGGCACGAAATCGCCGCACGTCCGGGGCGCGCGACGAGCAGAAAATCGACGCGCACGCCCGGGGCGCGCGACGAGCAGAAAACCGACGCGTGCCCGGGGCGCGCGACGGGCAGCAGAATAGTGCATCTAGCGGAAGCTAGCAGTAGGCCCAGGATGGATGTGCTCTGATAGCATGTCAAAATAGTAGGTGAACCTAGGCTTAGGAGAAACCCTAGGCCTAGCCTAGGTGAATGTCGATAGAAACGAGATAGAGAGAGTTGGGCAAAAGAGGAATTTACTAAGAGAAGTGTTACAAAATATAGCAAGGCAAAAGGTGCACCACCAAACAGTATAGTTAAATAACTACACTACAGCTAGAACTACATTGTTAGAACACTAAGGCTAGGATGGTGTGATTAGGTCAAGGGGGGGAGTACAAGAACGTCCCCCTTGTACTAACCCCCATGTAGCCTAACCTAACTAAACATGCATATAAATTGACAACCCACTGGAGGCTATAATATTTGACACATCCCCACAGCCTAAGTGGGGAATGCCAAGCAACAAAAAACACAACCTAAGGTCACAAGACCAGTCAC